AAAAATACTATTTCTTTTGTTTATCATTTTTACAGTGCATATATCTGTAATAAAAATAATATAAAGTGAGCACTGTACACTTTGTATTCTGTGTTGTAATTGAAATCAATATTGAAAGTGTAGAAAAACATCAAAAATATTTAATACATTTTAATTGGTATTCTATTGTTATAAGTGCAATTAATTGCAATTACTTTTTTAATCATGATTAATGTTTTGAGTTAATCACGTGAGTTAACTGCGATTAATTGACAGCCCTAATTTATATACTTAATAGAGGAAGCTGGTCTTGTGGTTAAGGCACTGGATAGGGACTCAGTAGATGTGGGTTAAGTTTCCAGCTGCCATAGATATGAGCAAATCATTTACTCATTCCGTGCCTCAGTTTCCCATCTATAAAAGAGGGCTAACAGTACTTCCTTTGTCTTTCTTGTCTATTTCGCTTGTAAGCTCTTCCGGGCAGGGACTGTCTCCCGTTCCGTTTGTAGCATTCTGTGCCTAGCACACCAGAGCTGTTTGATCTTGGTTAGAGCTTTCATTGCTACAGTAATACAATGATCTATTTGTAAGGTACCTATCATAAGCATCCAAGCACAGTGCAACAAAACACACAAATTTTTACAATAGTAAAGCTAAATTTAAAAAAATCACGTTCAAGTATACAGTCAAAACGAGCCAAAGGATCTGCCACCAGGACAAACCTGGTAGCTTGTAGGCATACCACACTAGAACTAGGTAATCTTTGGCCACTCACCCTGATACTTTAACTAGATCATTTTCTGCTAGTCATTTTTTCTTTTCAAAATTCAGGGCATTATCTCTGACCCTGCTGAAACTCTGGTTCATGCTTTTGCTCTATTGCCACTGAAGCATTGCATTCATTTCTGTCTCGGTTTCCCTGCCTTGTCAGGTTTTCCAAGACAGTCTTTTCAGAACACTGCAAAATGCATGACGCCTCCCTTTCCCCTGCCCAAGAGCTCACATTTCTCATGTGGTGTCTTTATTTAGGCAATTACTTTAGCTACCTGTGAACTTGAAGATGCAATTTAAATTTGTATTACTTGTATTCAAAATCCTTCATACTTCAGTTCCTTCAAATTTGTGCAATGGGGTTTGTGCATATCTTCTTGGCTGTGCATCACACTCTGTGTTTTAAAAATCTTCTTTTCCTTTAGCTATTTTTAGATTCATGGCTGCAAGTCTCTGTTGGGTTTGGTTTTCATCTTGTACAGCACTGTGAACGCTACTTTATAAGTCAATAAGTGACAATATTCTACAATTATTTAGCTAGCTCAAATAGGTACTAATAAGCATATTTATCGTTAAAGTGGAAAAGTCTGCAGAATTCCGTATCTATAGTACAGACGTTGGAATTTATGCCTGAGCTTGTACTGTTGATTATTTATTTAATCTCTTTCATGCGTAACTTTTACTTCATGTAAACACACTCCTATTAAATAGCTATGCCATCTTAGCCATAGAGGACCTGTTCCAAGGCCCATTTAAATCAGTGGATTTTAATGGACTTTGAATCTAGTCTTGCCAGCCCAGGTTTGACCTTTGCTATAGAGATATAATGCATATTGACTTCTTTTGAAGGTGCAGCCGTAGTGTATTTAAGGGCAAAATTAGCTCACAGAGTCTTGCAGAGAAGGGCAACAAAAATGATTAGTGATATGGACCTCTGATAAGGAGAAATTATAAAGACTGAGACTGTTCAGTTTAGAAAAGAGACAACTGGGGGGGATATGAAGAGGTCTATAAAATCATGAATGGTGTGAAGGTAGTGAATAGGGAAGTGTTATTTACCCTTTCACATAACTCAAGAACTAAGAGTCACCTTATGAAATTAACAGGCAGCAGATTTAAAACAAACAAAAGGAAGAAGTTCTTTACACAACGCACAGCCAACGCATGGGACTCTTTGCTATGGGATGCTATGGTTAAGCACCGGAATAAATTGCCTAGAGAGGTTGTGGAATATCCATCATTGGAGATTTTTAAGAGCAGGTTAGACACATGCCTGTCAGGGATGGTCTAGATAATACTTAGTCCTGCCATGAGTGCAGGGGACTGGACTAGATGACCTCTCGAGGTCCCTTCCAGTTCTATGATTCTATATTGTGAAGGCCAAAAGTATAACTGGGTTCAAAAAAGAATTAGATAAGTTCATGGAGGATAGGTCCATCGATGGCTATTAGCCAGGATGGTCAAGGATGGAACCCCATGCTCCGGGTCTCCCCAAACCTGCAACTGCCAGAAGCTGGGACTGGATGACACAGAATGGATCACTTGAGATTGCCCTGTTCTGTTCATTCTCTCTGAAGTATCTGGCACTGGCCACTGTCAGAGACAGGAAACTGGGCCAGGTGGACCATTGGTGGTCTGACCCAGTCTGGTTGTTTGTATGTTCTAATGGGAGTATCACACAGAGATTCAGTACTTTCTCAGGCAATTAAGAAACTGAGGCCTGTTAGGAAAATATTAACTTCCTCAACCCACATGGATATCTTCAAGGTATTTAGTAGTGATACCCCAGGTTCCCACAGAACCCCTCCCCCACAAGTGTTTAAAATCAGCTGAACTTTAAATTCCTTTCTTGGTAGGTTGTAACATCTGCCAGGAAAGTAGATGAGTTGCAGCCACAGCAGACTACCAAAGCCTTTTCTCTGAGTCCCCAGACATTCAGAATTGCTAGAGGACAGATCTCTCTTTCTTATCTTCCCAAGGGCATTAGTGTTAATTTGAAAATAAATTTAGAGGCATTCTTCCCAAACGTCACATGACACAAAAAGACAGATTGCATATTCTGGAGGATGTGAAGGATGACTTTAAAGTGTGTCAGGTAAGAGGCTTTAAGGAAATGAAAAGAGGGGGTTGTACTTTTTCAACAAAGCAGGAAGTTTGCTTTTCCGTAAAGAGTGACTGTTACTTTCAAAAATACATTTGACCAACTCTGCAAACCAGTGTATGAGGACTACTGTTTTATAATATTTGCATTCTTGTAAACATGTGGGCTTGAATAATAAAGGACATATGCAGTTAGTGAAAATATGTTGGAGTCTCTTGCTAATTCGTTTTTTGACTGCAAGGCATCTTTATACAATGAGGAGGCCAGCGACGACTCACGTGAGTTGTTTGGGTACCAAGTCACTGGAATGTCTTGTATCTAAAATTTAAGTCCAGTACGGTGCAGTGAGGTTTCAGATCTCTGTTCGGTGAATTAGCTGTTTAGAACTATCAGCTGCATGAGGCATGATATCATAAAACCCGTGCAAAACACGGAGTATTGTTGGTTTTACCTCTAAGTCTGTTGAAATCAGCTGAGGGCAGAATTTGGTTCTTGATTTCCTATAATCGATTGTGTGTGTTTGTTTTTGGTCTGGCAAGCAGAGTGGCTCCAAACAAATGTGTGGGATTCACTGAGGCTCCCCCAGACTGACCTTTGACCAAGGCTAACCAAGGAGGGAGTTTCTCATATATTGTGGTGACCTGACTTAGAGGGTTTGTAGAGATACTGCTTAGCCATTCATTATGACCCATAACTAATTTGTGGGTTATCTATTTCCCCACATAATCACATTTCTCACATGTGCAAGTGAACCCTGTACGCGTTTAGGATGTCCAACAACCTCCTCCCAGGTTGCAATGTTAATGTTCAGGCTGCAGCTGTTGGTGCAAAAGACTCTTACATACAGCAGCCCTTAGTCTCAGAGACTAAGGGCAGGTCTTCACTACCCGCCAGATTGGCGGTTAGTGATTGATCTATTGGGGATCGGTAGACGCGATAAATCGATCCCCGATCGCTCTGCCGTCGACTCCAGAACTCCACCACTGCCGAGAGGCGGAACTGGAGTCGACAGGGGAGTGGCGGCAGTCAACCCCGCGCTGTGAGGACGCGAGGTAAGTCGAACTAAGATACGTCGACTTCAGCTGCTATTCTCGTAGCTGAAGTTGCGTATCTTAGATCGATCCCCCCCCCCAGTGTAGACCAGGGCTAAGTATGTTAAACACCTGTATGATGACTACGTCTTCCTCTTGCATAAGAAGCAAAAATCCCCAAGACTGCTCCTGAACCTCAGTTTCCGACATGGTAGTGCAGTGCACTATTGACTGATACACTGAGACATAATAAAATAAAATAAAATGAGTATGATAATTATTATTTATTGTTTACATTAAATAGCGCCCCAGTAGCAATCTGGGCCCCATAGTGCTAAGTGCATTCTGTAGCTGGGATACAAGAGACAAGAACAGATTTAAAATGTTTATTAAAGCTAATGTTAAAATGATCTAATACACAGGTTAAGGAAAGAGTGTCTATACCTCTAGGTATAATGCTTAAATTATCCAAAAGTACAAAGTTTGGTTTAAAAATCATACAATAAATATAGTACATAATCTACAATATCCCCAATTTAGGTTAATCAATGTAATGATACAGTTTAGATATTAGCTTCCAAATATTTGGATAAATCACTCATAAAAGGTTATACTAAGCGTAGCTTGTGGAAAGCAAATATAGCAATGAGTGTAGATTGTCCCTCAGTAATGGAGAATTTAGGGGCGGTTGTCCCTCAGTAAATACAATCCCTCAGAGAAGTATTTCAGTTACTTTCCCGACTTTGCTTCTCAACGGCACTCCGGCTCATCTCTCCTGGTATTGCCGATGTCCGGTGATGTGTTCTAAATAGCTGTCCCTCGACCACTTGATGGCGTCCTATACCACGCGTTGCCGAGATACAGCAGACAATATTAAAGCTCTCTCTGAAGTTCTGTTATTTTACATAGTAAATTACTCTGATTTGGTTTAACATTTTTAAACCTTACGTGGAGGCTTGTGTGGAGTGAGTGAGTGTGTGTGTGAGTGTGTGAGTGTGTGTGTGTGAGTGTGTGAGTGTGTGAGTGTGTGAGTGTGTGTGTGTGTGTGTACGAAGGGCAAAGAACATTTTCTATCTTATTGTTTTTGTTCCTGATGCCATTTACTCATCTTTCTTTAGGAGGAAGCTACGCTCCCAGGAGGACAGCATAGAGGATGCATCCCCAGTTGAGTCTCCAGTCAGAGCCTCACCTGGCCAGTCCAACCTACAGAGAAAAAAGTGAGTGGGGTGTACTGCTAGAACGAGAAGCCCAGATTCATGAATCAGTGTAGTTATTAAGATTTCATATTTTGGTGCATAGATACAAAGGTGACTGGCACCTTAGAAATACCTAAGATACAACAGAGAAATGGATAGATGGATGGATATCTAGCACTGATGAGTAAGATGTTTCAGCGCAGTGAGTAAGGAAATATACTGTTACCAAAGTTGAAACTGTTCCTGTCATTCTTCATGCACTGCGATGAAAAATGTTCTCCTAGATTTTGCTGGCCTAGAACTTTTGCATCGAAAACCATAGACTGTATAAGTAGTGAAAGGATAATCTAATTTTGAATCAAAGATTTGAGAACTCATTTAAAAGCTGCATTTAATATCTGTTCTATTTTCTAATACAGATTCATATTAAAGGAAGATTTAAAAAAATACCATTGCCAAGTGCTGCCAGATTTGTAGACATCACTGAAAGATCTGGCTTAGCTTGCAGAGAAGATGGCTGCATTTTTAATTTGAACAGTATTACAGAAATGCGGTGCTGCCAACTTGTATTCGTTGTTCAGAAACATCTTGTTTCTCCTTTCTGGAATGAGAGGGCATTTTACATCATGTGTACTCAGTCCTGGACTTCTTTACGGTGTTCCACTAATGCAACAGTCCTGAGAGGAACCTCTCCCATTGAGTGCTTGTCTTTATTAAAAAATTGGATCATGCGAGTCCATGGCCTTGAGGAGTCGCTTGAACTAACACAATGTTCAACATGATTTAGCAATCCACGTAGACAGAAATTGTTGTGTCAGCTGATCATGAATAAACCCTATTAGAACCCTAGCGTTCACAACACCCAGTTGACATGCAGCTAAACATGACTTGTCGCTGTCTACACTGAGGTTAAACATGACTTTGCAATCATGTTAGTTAACACAACCCAACTTTAACCTGACCTATTTTTTTAGTCAAGACAAGCTGTGGGAGACTGAAAGGGGAATTCACAGCTTACATGTTCATAGGCTTCCCCTACCTGTCCATAGGCTTCCCCTACAGCTCCATCCAGTGGTTCTCAACCAAAGCCCTCTCCTGGTATGACAGAGCATGGCGAGTGATGGCAGAAAGTAGCGTGTGTTCTTAATAATTACCAAGTCGTTTCTAGCACTGTCTGCCCTTTGAAGCAAACGTACTGTATGACCTTGTGACACTGTAAGCACCTAGAGGATAATACAGTGATAAATAATAGCCAACATGATTTGTCAAGAACAAATCATGCCAAAACAACCTAATTTCCTTCTTTGACAGGGTTACTGGCTTAGCAGATAGGGGGAAAGCAGGATATGTGATGTACCTCGATTTTAGTAAGGCTTTTGACGCAGTCCCACATGACATTCTCATAAGCAAACTAGGGAAATGTGGCCTAGATGAAATTATTATAAGGTGGGTACAACTGGTTCAAAGACCGTACCCAAAGAGTAGTTATCAATGGTTTACTGTCAAACTGGGAGGATGTATCTAGTGGGGTCACACCAGCGTCTGTTCTGGGTCCGATACTAGTCAGTTTTTTCATCAGTGACTTGGATAAGAGAGTGGAGAGTGTTCTTATAAAAATTGCAGATGACGTCAAGCTGGGAGGGATTGCAAACACTTTGGAGGACAGTACTAGAATTCAAAATGACCTTGATAAATTGGAGAATTTGTCTGAAATCAACAAGATGAAATTCAATAAAAACAAATGCACAGTATTACATTTAGGAAGGAAAAATCAAAGGCAAAATACAAAATGGGGATTAACCAGGGTGGATTGTTTCAAATCAAAGCAATTTAAATAACTGATTTTAATCATGATTTAAATCAGCAAGCAGGAAACCTTGATTTAAATCTCTGATTTTAATATGTTTTGCATTTGTACTTTTTAGTTATTTTCCTTAAGAAAGGTGGATTCTCATTGGTTGGTAACAATAAAAAAAAGTTGATTGGCACCTAAATACACTCCTTTCACTAAATTTGGTGCTTCTTTTTGCAAACCAGGAGAATACACTATTTCCATATACATTTATTTAAGCAGTTATATAGCTGAACTTACGTTTATTCCGGGTCTTATTTTTTACATTTTTTATTATGTTAGAAAATGGTGAATAATGCATTTCTTATTTACTAAATGAATAATTTTGTACTTGTGATTTGTGTGAAGCTCTATTTGGATGGGAATTTGAATGCAATTAAAAATGCAAAAAACCTAGCATTTTAAAGTTGTTTTTAATTAGTTAAATAAAACTACCTTAACAGTGCAGCATACGTAAGAAAAAAGTTTATCAAAACATGTTTTGCATTTAAAACTGATTTATTTAACAAAGGAAATATTATCAGTAGTTAGTGAATTGAACTGATTGTGTCTTGTCTCTGTTGTCATTTAAGATTTTAGAACTAGTCGGTCTCATCCTCTCACACCTATTTTTTATTCAAAGATTAGAAGAGGAAAACAAGCTTTCCTGTTTTTCTCAACTTCCTATTGGTTTTAAACTTTGAATGAATGATCATTGAATTGGACTAGTTAAATAAACTGAAATGAAGAAAATATTCTCTCTCCCCTGCAGAAGAGGCTACTGCTGTCAAACGCTGGTTTAGCACGTCAACAAACCCTGGCTCGAGGTGCTTAGCCAGTGGCTTCCATCAGTTCAGTGGCTGGACTTTCTTTAAAACTTTGGCAGTAAACATATACTGCGTAATTAAAAAAAAAGTTAAATTATTTCAATAGATTAGAGTAAGTTTAGGGCTAACATAGGTTGTCATAATTTCAAATTTAAGTTAAAAAAACCCCTCTATTTTATTAAAATAAAATCTGATTTAAATAAAAAAATCAGATTTTTAAAAAAGAATCATCAACTTTTATCCATCTTGGGAATAACTGGCTTGGCAATAATACTACAGAAAAAGATCCAGGGGTTATAATGGATCACAAATTGAATATGAGCCAACAATGTGATTCAGTTGCAAGAAAGGCTAGCAGCAGCGTATTGTATGTACGACACAAGAGGTAATTGTTCCGCTGTGCTTGGCACCGGTAAGGCCTCAGCTGGAGTACTGTGGTCAATTTTGTGCCTGTGCCACATTTTAAGAAAGATGTAGGCAAACTGGAGAGAGTTCAGAGAAGAGCAACACAAATGTTAAAAGATTTAGAAAATGTGATCCATGAGGAAAGAGTAAAACCTGGGCATGTTTAGTCTTGAGAAAAGAAGACTGAGGGGGGACCCGATAAGTCTTCAAATACCTTAGGGGCTGTTACAAAGAGGATGGTGATCAATTGTTCTCCATGTCCATGGAAAGTAGTTACAAGAAGTAACCAGCTTAATCTGCAGCAAGGGAGATTTAGGTTAGGTATTAGGAAAAACTTTCTAACTGTTACTCTAGTTAAGTAAAAACAACAAGGAGTCCGGTGGCACCTTAAAGACTAACAGATTTATTTGGGCATAAGCTTTCGTGGGTAAAAAACCTCACTTCTTCAGATGCATGGAGGGAAAGTTACAGATGCAGGCATTATATACTGAGACATGAAGAGAAGGGAGTTACCTCACAAGTGGAGAACCGGTGTTGACAGGGCCAATTCGCTCAGGGTGGCTGTAGTCCACTCCCAATAATAGATGAGGAGGTGTCAATTCCAGGAGAGGCAAAGCTGCTTTTGTATTGAGCCAGTCACTCCCAGTCCCTATTCAAACCCAGATTAATGGTGTTAAATTTGCAAATGAATTTTAGTTCTGCTGTTTCTCTTTGAAGTCTAGTTAAGTAGTAGAACGGGTTACCACTACTTAGGTTGTGGAATCCCCATCACTGGAGGATTTTAAGAAGAGGTTAGACAAATACCTGTCACGGATGGTCTAAGGTATACTTGATCCTGCCTCAGCATGGGGAGACAATGACCTCTCGAGGTCCCTTCCAGCTGTATGTTTCTATGATTCTCTGACTGACTGTAATCCATGAGACTGAATTTACTTTAGTTGTCACACTTGACCGTGTACAGTTATGCAATAGCCACATGGACAGGGTTGAATTCTAACTAAGGATCCTACGGGTGAAAAAAAAGGGCTGTCCCCTGCTTTTATTTTACATTAGTAAATTCTCCAATGGTTTTTCTGCAGCTTGCCAGAGCGAGCAGGTTCAGCAACCAGCCAGAACAGTTTGACAATCAATGACCGGCTGCAGGAGCTGGTGAGGCTCTTTAAAGACAGGACTGAGAAAGTGAAAGAGAAACTGATTGACCCAGATACTACCTCTGATGATGAGACCCCTGTGGCATGTGAGTTACAGCTGGGTTTGGGACCTCTCAGTAGACCGGGAATACTGAGCAAGAGGCAGAAGTTACTGAGCCGGAGAAACTGGTTTCGTAAAGCCCAAGCAATAAAAATGATGATATGGTTTTGTAACCTGGAAACTTAGCAACTGACCTGTCTTCCATGAATAGATAAACGGTACATAAAAGGAGACAGAATTGTTGAGTAGAAGTGTGTGGAAATGATGGTTCAGTGGATATAAGTAGCCCCTTAGAGCGGTGTTGTAAGATCCTCAGTGAAATGATTGGTGGTTTTTCCCTATGCAAAAAATGCACATTGCAAACAAACAAAAAACACCGCTCCAGATGACGTGGCATAATTAGCAATCGTTACCCAATAAAGAGGGAGGGAGGATGGTCTTCTGTTTAAGGCAAAGGGCTGGACTTAAAGAGAGCTGGGTTCTATTCCTTACGCTGCTACAGACTTGTGTGACCTTGGGCAATTCAGGTTAATCTCTTTGTTCCTCAGTTGTTTCATCTGTAAAATGGAGTAATAATACTTCCGTACCGCAGCAGAGTGTTGTGAGGGTAAATATACCAATAGTTTGCCAGTGCTTTGAAATTTACAGCTGTATAAGTGCAGAATATAATATTATGATTATGAAAGACACAGGAGTAAGCTGGCATGAAGGCTGAGCTGCTTCTTTGGCCTGGTCTACACCGGGGGGGATCGATCTAAGTTACGCAACTTCAGCTATGTGAATAACGTAGCTGAAGTCGACGTACTTAGATCGACTTACCATGGTGTCTTCACTGCGGTGAGTCGACTGCTGCCGCTCCCCCGTCGACTCCGCCTGCGCCTCTCGCAGCGGTGGAGTACAGGAGTCAACGGGAGAGCACTCGGGGATCGATTTATCGTGTCTAGACTAGACGCGCTAAATCGATCCCCGCTGGATCGATTGCTGCTCGCCGATCCGGCGGGTAGTGTAGACATACCCTTAGTCTTTGAGAGAGGCTGGTCTGTGAAGAGAACGTGAAAGTCATGAACATTAACAAAGCTCTTAGCTAGGAATGCAGACTGGCCTTTCATGAAGAGGTTATGTTAATAAGAGAAAAGTTTAAAGACCAGGGACAAACATGAGAACTTCAGCCTGTCAGAGAAGTTCGCGCTGCTTTCAATAATTCTATGACTTTTCATAGCCCCTTCCAAGAAAACCTCTCCAGAACCACCGCCGCCACCAGAAGAAAAAGAGACAGCAGCTGAAGTGGAGGCACATTACTGTGAGATGCTCTGCTGCAAATTCAGATGCCGCCCCTGGCCAAGCCGTGTGAAAAAGTACCGGTTCCCAAGCAGCATCGACCCTCTCAACAGTAAGTAATTGAAAAATACTATTGGTTGAGATAATGCTGTTGCTCCATTTATGAGAAAGGGAAGATAAAAGTAGAGATGGCATGGAAAGAAAGCAGGAGAGGAGGAGAAAGAAATGGGAGAATTGGGAGTGTGGCAAGGACACCAGGGAAGGAAGAAAGGAATGATTTAGACCCTGTCTGATTGAATTTTTTTCATTTGGAAGAGCAGAAGGAAGTGATAAATTCCATTAGGGATCATAGCTAGCCTCAGTTGTTGCCCCAAAGCTGGTGAGGGTGGCAATGCACCAGTGGTTTTTGGCCATTTTATCTGACAGACTTTGTCGGACTGCTCTGAAAATCTCCTGAAAACCCAGTTCCTTCTCCACCAGCTACTCACTCTTCTTAACCACCTGGCTCATCTCTAAGGGTACGTTTACACTTACATCCGGGTCCGGATGTAAGCAATCGATGTTCTGAGTTCGATTTATCGCGTCTGGTTAAGATGCGATAAATCGATCCCGGATTGATCCCGGAAGTGCCCCGGATCGATCCCGGAAGTGCTCGCCATCGACACCGGTACTCCAGCTCGGCGAGCGGAGTACGCAGCATCGACGGGGGAGCCTTCCTGCCGCGTCTGGACCGCGGTAAGTTCGGACTAAGGTACTTCGAATTCAGCTACGTTATTAACGTAGCTGAATTTGCGTACCTTAGTCCGAAGTGGGGGGGTTAGTGTAGACCAGGCCTAAAAGTCAACTCTCTCCAAAAGCCAGCAGCTAGTGCAGTGTAGTTGCAAAAGAAATAAATAAAGTGGATATGTCGTAGAAGCAGAGCAAAGACAGTCTGATATAAGTGCTTGGAATGTAGGAAGTTCTGTTCCCTTTAATTTTTAGTACCTAATTCATTCATCCTTACAGTCAACCCTATGGATAATATGCGGCTATTCTCTGTCAACTGCTCACTAATTTTGATCTGTGCTTCCCTCTGCTTAGATTTGATGTACGTGCTGTGGCTTTTCTTTGTTGTTCTGGCCTGGAATTGGAACTGCTGGCTGATTCCAGTACGCTGGGCCTTTCCATACCAAATGCCTGAAAACCTCCATTGGTGGCTACTTGTAGACTATCTCTGCGACCTCATCTATTTTCTGGACATCACTGTCGTTCAGGTCCGCCTGCAGTTTGTCCAAGGAGGAGACATAATTGTAAGTGGCGGCTAGTAGCGGTTCCCTCACAAGGCAAAATTTCAAACGGGACTTTGGCTTGCTTTGGGTACCTCCTGCTATAATACTTGAAGTCCGTAGAAAGTTTTTTTTTGGCAAATGTTGGAAGATAAGAACATAGAGCAAAAAGGCAGCTCTCCCGCTGCGTCCCTTATTTACTTCATGGGCCCTGAGTGAATTTTTTACCCACAGAGCACACCGTGAAATGTTCACTGTGCAGAGGAGAAGCTATGTAAGAGGCTTTTGGAACGACAATTTACTCAATGTCCTAAGGAGAATGTCCTCGCAGCTAAGCGAGGTTGTTCCTCAATACCCCCACCCCCCTTTTATCAAGCCATGTCTCCTTGTTTTCCTTATACAGAAAATCTACCATGTTCACTGTGGCGAGGTCATGGCAGTATTTATACTATGGTGGGGAGAAGATGTCATTTCCCTCCTCCCCTCTTTCCCATCCCAATCCCTTTCCCGCATAATTAGGTCTCTTCTGCTCCCCTCTGCTATATAATAGGAAGGAAGCATATGGTGATGCTGTGTAGGTGCCTCCTCTCTGCCTTTTCAGTCAGGTGCAGGTCAGTAAACCTCACCGCCAACCAGTGATGATGTTTCCCTCTGTTTCCTGTTCTCGTCTAGACTGATAAAAAGGCCATGCGACAGAACTACCTGAAATCCCGACGCTTCAAGGTCTGACACACCGTGTTTGATTTTTACATGTATTTATTATTATTTAAAGGACACATTACAATCATATTTTGAAATCCATTTCCTCTTGCTATTAGTCACACCTCTGAATATTAGGACCGGAATAATGTTTAAAATACGTGTAATAGTTATCTTGACAGATGTAGATCAGGTTTAGCATGGCCCTGTCTGGGTAGGAAAGGAATGGAAAGGAGGTTGGGTGTGTGTCTGGACAAGGGCTAGCCATATATAACTGGGGATCGCACTTTGATAGGTAAGTGCCAAATAGGGTGACCGGATAGCAAGTGTGAAAAAATAGGGACGGGAGTGGGGGGTAATAGGTGCCTATGTAAGAAAAAGCTCCAAAAATCAGGACTGTCCCTATAAAATTGGGACATATGGTCACCCTAGTGCCAAAGGCAGCAGTAGCCTCCTCAGAGAGGGCTAGGAAGAGGAGAGTTCGTTGGAGGGGGGCAAGAGAACATGCTGCACACAGTTAAGGGTGGTGGAGATCCTGTTTCAACGTTGGCTTCCCCAGCGCCCCAGTTATGTGTACAAATATATGGAAGTTTGTGCATAATCATGTCCGCAGAACATGAGTTTTATTTCCATTGACTTACCCTACTGCCCTCCTGGATCCCCACTTTTGATTTCAATGGAAGTTGCTTCCTAGTAAATGAGGCCAGAGTTGGGTCCCGAATACCCTTTCCTGAGTGCTGCTAGAAGCAAAAGAGCCCCATGATGGTTTCAATTTACCACCATGTTTTCTGTTGTGGTCTCACATGTGAGTTTTAGATGGACGTGTTGTGCCTTCTTCCCCTGGATTTCTTTTACTTCAAAGTTGGCGTAAATTCTCTCTTGCGGTTGCCTCGCTGTTTAAAGGTAAGTCAGGTGGTTACAAAAACAAGGGGGGAGACTGCATTTTTAGTGAATGTAACAGAATCGCGTAGTTTTTTGATGCGCTATTCCTGTCTGCCGAAGTAGATTAATTGTAGATGACAGTACAATTGCATGGGGGCAGGGAGGGGAAGAGGTTTGTCCTTTTGAAGGTATTACTAAAAGTTGCCATACATTTTAGTTGTCATTAGGAGAATCATAATTTCTTTTATTTGGGGGGATGGGTGGGGACTATAAGAGCACATACTAAGGGTCTGATCCTGTGTCTATTGAAGATAATGGAAGTTTTGCCATTGATTCCAAGGACAACCATAGGCGCTGACTCCGTGGGTGCTTTGCACCCACCGGCAGCTCCCCGCCCCCCCTCCCCCCAGCTTGCCTCTGCTCCGCTCCGCCTCCTCCCCTGAGCGCGCCGCGGCTCCACTTCTGTTTCGCGGTGGGAAGCACTGGGAAGGTGGCGCGCTCAGGGAAAAGGCGGGGCCAGGGCGGGGATTTGGGGAAGGGGTTGGGATGGGTGGGGCAGGGGCAGGAAGGGGCGGGGTGGGGTGGAGTCGCGGCGGGGCCGGGGGCGAGCACCCACCGGCGCCTGGAAAAGTTGGCGCCTATGATGACAACAGGAGTGAGTTCCATATCATATGATTATAAATTTTCCACATTGCTGTAACGGGATCTGATGTAAGCAGGGAAGAACTCTCCTGTGAGAGATTTTGAAGCAATTAAGGTTTTAAAAGAAAGTAAAAGAATGTTTTAAAAATTTGAGGACAGCTGAAAGAGTGCATATGAAAGCTACTTTCAGCTAGAACGGGGTAGGCAACCTATGGCACAGGTGCCGAAGGCGGCACGCGAGCTGATTTTCAGTGGCACTCACACTGCCCAGGTCCTGGCCACCGGTCCGGGGGGCTCTGCATTTTAATTTAATTTTAAATGAAGCTTCTTAAGCATTTTGAAACCTTATTTACTTTCCATACAACAATAGTTTAGTTACATATTATAGACTTATAGAAAGAGACCTTCTAAAATCGTTAAAATGTATGACTGGCACGCGAAACCTTAAATGAGAGTGACTAAATGAAGACTCGGCACCCCACTTCTGAAAGGTTGCCGACCCCTGAGCTAGAAGATTAGACAGCTCAATGGGCTATGGAGTCACTACATCAAATCTAAGCCATGTTAGTAGCAAGTGAAAGTCATTTCCACCTATTTTGTGGCATATATGAAATGAGACACTTGTCTCAGGATGGTCCCTAATGGACTGGCAGTAATCTGCAGGATTAGGGGAAAGGCCAAGATTTGAAAGGTTCATGGAAGATTTGAGTCTCCAGGGCTGTCAATCCAGCACCTTACCCCAACTCTAAAACATACTTAAAATTGTAAAATAAAAAAGATCAGTGATAATTAAAAGAAGCATTGGAATCTCTCATCTCGCGCCTTTTGTAGTTTTTAATACAGAACTACTCTAGGAGTACAATTGAAAGGAAAATGAGATTTTTTGGAGGATGCCTGGAGGTGAAACATAGTTTTGCTAGTTAAAGAAGTAATTCTCAACCTGGGATAAGCGTACCCCTGGGGGTACACAGAGGTCTTCCAGGAGGTACATCAACTCATCTAGACACGTGCCTAGTTTTACAACAGGCTACATAAAAAGCACTAGCGAAGTCAGTACAAACGAACATTTCATAGAGACAATGACATGTTTATACTGCTCTATATACTATACAGTGAAATGCAAGTACAATAGTTATGTTTCAATTGATTTATTTTATAATTATATGGTAAAAATGAGAAATGTAACAATTTTTCAGTACTAGTGTGGCTGTGACACTTTTGTATTATTACATCTGATTTTGTAAGCAAGTAGTTTTTAAGTGAGGTGAAACTTGGGGATAGGCAAGACAGATCAGACTGCGGAAACAGGGACAGTCATCTGGAAAGGTTGAGAGCCCCTGAATTAAAGGATTCTCATTCAACGCTATTGAAATCTAGTTACCAGCTGTGATTGATGGGAAGCTAATGCGCATTGTATCATTCTCTTTAACAGTACATGGCCTTCTTTGAGTTTAATAACCGGCTTGAAGCTATCCTGAGCAAGGCATATGTTTACAGGTGAGACAAACCACTGATACATTTGTATCTTCTTGGAGGAAGATATTTTTGGGACTGTTCTTTTATTGGAGGCGGAAGAGGTGCAATTTGGTGGAGATGCAGCAATCTCCAGCCAAACATAGTTCCTCTTTGTTCCCCATATGTGATTCAATCATAGACATTCTAGATAGAGAAAATTCTTCCTCCTCCTTATTGACTGCCACAATCGCAGTGACTTCGGCTGAGGCTGGAAATGTCTCCTGGGAGGCTGACAACACTAATAGCGCATCATGAGATGATTGGCAGACACACACCGGAATCAAACATCACCTTAGGGCCTCTGCAACCCAAAACGTATTACTTTTCCAGCGCTCCCTAGCCAAGAAGCAAGCGACTCATTTTCAGTCATTCTCAACTCTGTCTTCTGCATTGTAGCACATGGCACTGCTTCCAGGATATGTGACAGATCCACAATACGAAAGATGACAGTAGAAAAATTATCTATATTAATAATAGCCTTTAGTCATTACCCTCTTCCCAGTTGCAGCTCCATGTGATAAATGCTATCAACATTATTTGAAATGATCTTTGTTCCCAAAGCAACTAGGGGCAGAAGTGGTGGGGATAAACAGCGTAAAGCAGCAGGTGAAAATATTCTTTCCCCTACATTTTCAGAGCTGTGCAGAGCTTTAGCTGTGTGACTGGCAGGGAATCCCTTGGAATAATTAGAGTCAACTGTTCCGAAGCACTCCTTTTCTCTTCCCCTAGGGCTATAAATATCAGAGCCTGCCCTGTGTTTCCATGAATTATTTTTCACTTTTAACAATGATATTTTGGGGGATTTGAAGGTGTTTTTCATTATCGGGCACCTTGTAATCTTTCCTCTTTCATTGTTGCCTTTCTTTGCAGAGTGATAAGGACCACAGCCTATTTACTCTTCAGCTTACACGTGAACTCATGCCTGTATTACTGGGCATCATGGTACCAGGGACTGGGTTCTACCATATGGGTCTATGACGGGAAGGGAAACAGGTACTTAGTATGCGTGCCTTCTGTTTTCAAATAGGCCAATGCAGCAGAATAGGAGTGATAAAGAGACAGTCAGGATGCAGCCAAGTCTGAATTAACACAGCACTTTTGACATACGAGTCCACCTTTTAGTCAAAAGCCTACCATTTCCAGTACAGCATCAGCGCTATTTGATTTATATAGGCAGGGCTGCCTATTATTAAGGTTGCCTGACACTTCCCATTATTACACCCTCCATTGCTTATAACTTTGGTAAACGTTAACCATTTAAGTTGAAATTTTATGTGCCGTGCGTCTGCCTGAGTCTGAATGATTATAATAATTATTATTATTATGTTATGTTTCTGCCAAAATGGCCCAGCCATTACTAAGAACTAGACTGGGGAAAACATACATTGTTTTGCCATTTAAAAAAATTCTGGAGACTTTTTCTCTAAGAAGCTCTAGTGCCCCCATGTTTTCCACCTGTCCCCTAAACTTCTTTGTCTCTGTAGGTTTTCCAGGAACTTTTGCATTTAAGGGAGAGGAGAGGCTTTCACCCCCTTAGTTTTCCCCTTTTCACCACATAACCGTTCCCTCTGTAGTTTCCAAGTGGTCTCTTGCTGACTGTGTCAGAGCAGTTCTAATGGTATATAGCAGATACTGACTTTTCAGGTGAAGGAAACTGGTTGAAAAGTTGTTCGTTTTCCCCTTTATAGTTATATCCGCTGTTATTACTGGGCTGTCAAGACTCTAATTACTATTGGGGGACTGCCTGACCCCCAAACTCTGTTCGAGATACTCTTCCAGCTTCTGAACTACTTCACAGGGGTCTTTGCTTTCTCTGTCATGATCGGCCAGGTAAGGGAATAATCAATCTGTCTTCCCATCTGTATGATGCAGGCTCACCATGTTTGTTATTTTTAAGGTCACCTCTCTGAAATCATGTTTCAGTTTCCCAAAAAGTACCCGCTGGGCTTTCCAACTTCATCCATTGAAAAATCCCAACAGCATCGCTGTTCATTCTGACATTATTTTAAAGTTTGTTTTACTAATATGGAGGGGCTCCTGACCTGCTGCAGGCCAATGGTTTTATAAGTTCGAGGAGGCAGATCCTCTGTCGTGATACACAATGTATGTTCAGTCAAAGAAGCTAGTTGTTAATAGTCTTTTGGATACTTAACAACTATAAGGAATGACAAATAAACTAGTTCCTTAAATTTTGTTCTCTTCCCTCCTCCAACTCAGATGAGAGATGTAGTTGGCGCTGCTACAGCAGGACAAACTTATTATCGGAGTTGCATGGACAGTACCATTAAATACATGAATTTCTACAAAATCCCCAGATCCGTTCAGAATCGGGTCAAAACATGGTATGAATACACTTGGCATTCACAAGGCATGTTAGGTAAGAATTAGCTGTATTTAGGGTTACTGTCTTTATTAAGACTTTAAGTTCATGTCTTTCTGATATTTTAACCTTGGCCTATGAACATCAGTGGAAGTTGGCAGCTTACAACGTTTTGTGAACTGGTTATCAGTGTCAATTGCAGATGGTCTAGAGCAGCGTTTCTCAAATGCGGCCACTGTGGCCGCATGCGGCCACTGTGGCCGCATGCGGCCACCAAGGACTTCTCTTGCGGCCACAACCTCCTGGACAGTGATTGGGAGGGGAGCTAAGCACTCCCTCCCCCGGGGCCACCCAGAGGGGTTGGGCCATGCCCCCCTCTGGAAGCACAAATGCCGGAGGAGCAGACAGGTTGTGTGAGTTCCCCACCTTCCCGGGGGTGGTGGAGCTCAGGCTTCCGGCTTTAGCGCTGGGGTGGTGGGAGGCAGGCTCCAGACATGCAGCAGCAGGCTCTGGACATGGGCTCTGGCTGTGTGGTGGCAGGTTACAGCCACGGGATCCACCCCCCAGCCGCAGGGCGTGGCAGGCTCCATCCCCCGAACCCTCACCCATCCACCCTATCAGCCTTAGCCCCCACTGCCTCCCTACCCTACCATCCGACCAAGGCTTAATTTGTCCCCTGGCTTGCCAGGCCTGAGTAAGTCTGCTGTGAAAAGTGATATTTGTATGTTTGTTAATATCATATTTCACTGCCTCCCGGCTAGCTAGCAAGTCTGCTGCTGTGAAAAGTGATATTAACAAACATACAAATATCACTTTTCACAAAAGCAGACTTACTTGCTAGCAAGTCTAAAAAAAACCCAAAACCAAAAAAGCAAAAGAAACAACAACAAAAGACAAGAACATGCAAAGCACCTTATTTGTGTTTCTCTTCTGTTTAGGTCCAGTAAAGAATAGACACAATTGTCCATTATTTTTATTACTGAATCTGCAAAAAACCCGACATAAATAGATTACTATGATTTGGACGTGTATATGTGCATATTTATTTGTTTTTCCTAAAGTTAAATATTTTAGGAAAAAGCGTCATAGCGGCCACCAGCAAGAGTTGGTGGCCGCACTCTGAGGCCACCAAAAATTTGTTGTGAGAACCCCTGGTCTAGAGCAAGAGATATGTGTCATTCTGTCTAGTCTCCCTCCTCCACAGTTAATTGCACTGAGATTTTCCAATTAAACCCAAAGGGCCACTGCTGAGTTTTGGAAAGTCACTGCAGTCATTTTGCCACACCAGTGGCAGCACAGCTTTAGGGCACTAACCCTAAGGATTTTGTGGGATTTTTTTTTCCTTTCTCATTTTACTTATTTCTCTATATTTCTTCCTTGTTTTACCCTACTTCTATACTGTCCACTACACTAGTACCAGGATTCTAATTCCTAGCCTGGTAGTGAACTAGCATGATCATACAACAGCGCATTCCAAGATTGCAACTCCCAGTCTATAGATGAAGTTAGCTGAATTGAGATTGTTGGCCAAATCACAACCTCCTGTGTAGGAAAAACCTGCCGTTCCTGCTAACTCATCCCATTATGGAAAAGCACGATCTGCACTGACTTGTTACCGAGCTCCATATTGGAAAGCTAGGTACATTTCTGTAAGTAGCCAGTTCTTTGTTTTGTTTCCCCTTTTAACAGACGAATCGGAGCTGATGGTGCAGCTGCCAGACAAGATGAGGCTGGATATTGCTATTGATGTGAACTACGACATAGTCAGCAAGGTGGCGCTCTTTCAGGTACTGTCGACCTTCTTAGATTGTACATTACTTGACTCCTGAGAGGCTCCTACAAATTAAGTAATTCCACTTCCTCTTTTGGGTTCAGGGCTGTGACCGGCAGATGATTTTCGACATGTTGAAGAGGCTCCGATCTGTTGTTTACTTACCTAATGATTATGTGTGTAAGAAGGTAACAAGCATTTTCCTTACATAAATTCTCTTTAGAGACTTGGAATAAAGTGATGCTCTATGCAGTGGGGAAGAGGCAGGGCCAGAAGTGGAAGCTCGTTGCTGGAATGATATGGATTTTGTTGGCCAATGCGTTTGGCAAGGAGATACACCAGGCTAACCCAGAGATGGGACCATATTGTGGTTGACACTGCAGCCACCCAGAGGCATAAAGAGATCATAAAGGTCTCCTGGGGAATTCCCCCGGTGCAGAAGTAGCTTAAGGCTGGCTTATGCAGCTTCACACTACCCTCCTGTGCAGCCAGGGGCGGCTCCAGGCACCAGCGCAGCAAGCGCATGCCTGGGGCGGCAAGCCGCGGGGGGTGGCCTGCCGGTCGCCGTGAGGGCGGCAGTCAGGCTGCCTTCGGCGGCATGCCTGCGGGAGGTCCTCCGGTCCCGCGGTTTCGGCGGCAATTCGGCAGCGGGTACGCCGAAGGCGCGGGACCGGCGGACCTCCCGCAAGCATGCCGCCGAATCCACGTTACCAGCGGACCTCCCGCAGGCGTGCCGCCTAAAGCCGCCTGACTGCCGTGCTTGGGGCGGCAAAATACATAGAGCCGCCCCTGTGTGCAGCCTCTTGAGTAGGTGTATACTGAGAGTGTGGATCGGACCAAGAGAGTTATGTTGGGGACAAGAGTGAGTGTGGATGGAGCGCAAAGTGTTCCAGCTCTTCTGAGCTGTAGAGCAGCCCACAGGCAGTCATACCAGGCTGCTGTAAAGTGAGGCAGCCTCTTGGTTATGCCGGGAGCCACAGCAGTCCCCAGAACAGTATAGCCCCTTTGGGCCACTCCTGTCTTTCACCTCCAGTGCTGCCCTTCCTTAGGGTTACCATACGTCCGTTTTTTCCTGGACATGTCCGGCTTTTCGGCAATCAAACCCCCGTCCGGGGTGAATTGCCAAAAAGCTGCACATGTCCGGTAAAAATGCCGGCCGGGCACTTCCCCTCCCGCGGCTGCTCAGCTCCTCCCCTGACTCTTCGGCTCTGTTTAAGAGCTGAGCCGCCCGAGCGCTATGGGCTTCAGGCAGCCCCCTTGCCTCCGGACCCCAGCCGCCGGCCGGGCACTTCCCCTCCCGGGCTCCGGCGGCGCAGGGTCCGGAGGCAAAGGGGCTGCCCGAAGCCGGTAGCGC